CATTTTTTTTATTTGTTTTTATAATCGATAAATAATAGTATCTACAACTAGAATCATTCATAGAGAATTCATAGAAATACATCAAATTTATACATTTTGATTTTTATCACATATATATATGACTTATGTATTCAACATCAGGTAATAAATAATGAGATTCGTGAATTTGCCAAATGAAAGTAGAATGTTGTGACATAGTAACTCACTGATGACAATGGTGAACGGTGATTGGTTAAAGTTAGACATTAACATCGTTGAACGCTGACTCAGTGGTCCAGAGTTTAAGCGTTCTTGCGTGAGACCGATAGATTCTGCGTTTGAATCTTGAGGGATGGGGTCGTGGATGCGCACTGCTGAAGAGTCTCATACTAAAACGAAACGGCTGTCCAGTGCTTTCAGGTTTTCGATGGTGGTCTAGCTTTAAACTGACTTATGAATTCAACTAATAAATTACTATAATATTCACAAAACCCCTCTCAGTTTAGAACGAGTTTAGATTTGGTATTTAATGTTCAAATGTAAATACATTTCAAGATTTTAAAGTAACAATTAGACTAGTGTATGTTATGCCATACAAAATTAACTTAACAGGTAGAAGAAATAAAGATATATGGAACGATTCAGATTGTAAATAGTTGTTGTGTGCTTATTGTTTATCATAAAATAACCAATAGGTTTGTCTAAATATTATTAACTGACATCATTGAAGATAGCTGCACTTATTCATATGTTATGTATTATCTAAATTATTAGAATTTGAGTAATTTGCCTACTTACGCTTGTTACTCCTTGTGAAGGAGCATAAGCCGCCCACCAGCACTCTCCATCCAACCCTGTCATGGGCAATCCTTTTTATATCTGGTTCTATTTCCCAATGTGATGTGTTCTTTGGCCTTCCTCTCAGGATTCCAAGTTAACACTTTTGTCGTGCAGTTTAGTGATTTCCGTAATGCATGTTCCATCCACCCCCATTGTCTTTTCCTAATTTCCTCTTCAACTGGAAGCTGGTTTGTTCTCTCCCACAAAAGACCGTTGCTGATGGTATCCGGCCAATGGATGTTGAGTATCTTGTGTAGACAGCTATTTATAAATACTTGTACGTTTTTGATGATGGTTGTATTAGTTCTCGAAGTTTGAGCTCCGTACAATAGAACTGTCTTGATGTTTGTATTGTAGATTGTGACTTTGATATTGGCGTGCAGACAGTTATTTTGAGTTGCATATGTTGTTCAATTATAGGAATGCTTCTCTTGCTTTGTTAATGATTGCCTTTACATCTGCATCAGATCCTCTTTGTTTATCGATGATACTTCCCAGTTATATGTGGAGGATTCCACATCTTCCACCTGTAGCTCTTCTAGAGTTACTACCGGTCCTAAGCCCAAATAAAGGAGAAGAGTTGGGTATGGGGTTGGCAACCCCATCAGTACTTTAAACACTGCCTATTAGATATGTGTATTACCAAAACAAAAATAAAAAAACAATTTGGATCTTTTTAAAAGAGGTACGATCAGTGCATAATCATGGTTTCTTCATTTTCAAGTTTGTATCATTTCTGAACAGGCTACATATATTCACTTAACTATGAGTGTTACATTTATAAAAAAGAAAGAAAAAAATTGATCCAACTATGTATTTAAAGTAGTCTAATTTGATTATTCAGTTTATTAACAGTTATAATATGTAGTTCAATGTGATTGTCTTTAAATGAATTATATTTTGTTGAATAATTATATTACTAATAAGATTATTGCACTTACCTACATATTATGAAGTGTATAATCTTTTTTTTTTTTTTAAAGAAAAAGATATACCCTTCTAACCTAGATTGTACTTTATGTTTGTATCAAATTAATAGATTTAACTTAGTACTTCTTTCAGTTTTTTTTTATTTTTTACTTGATCCAACTACTCAGGTGCATATTGATATCATAGATTAGAACCTTTAACCGAATTGTAATCTATTTACTTAAGTATACCAAAGAAGAAAAAAAATACATGATTTCCTAAATTGAATTTGGTTAAGCATGAATGAAAAATTTCCTCATATTGCGTTCATTAAAAGTTGGACAATTAGGATAAGTGGAGAAGATTTGTAACACAGATGGATGATCAAATCATCTTTCTTTTACTTTTTACTTACTTACGCCTGTTACTCCCAATGGAGCATAGGCCGCCGACCAGCATTCACCAACCCACTCTGTCCTGGGCCTTCTTTTCTAGTTCCATCCAATTCTTGTTCATTTGTCTCATGTCTACCTCTATTTCTCGATGTAATGTGTTCTTTATTCTTTCTGTTTTCCTTTGGCCTTGAGGATTCCAAGTGATGAGGGCTTGCGTTGTGACGCAGTTGGATGCTTTCCTCAATGTGTGTCCTATCCACTTCCATCACTTCTTCCTGATTTTTTCAGTTTTCCTCCGTTTCCTACACACATAGATATTGGTACAAGGAGGCACCAAATACATATGCGCCATACAAATCTCATTTGATTTATGTGAGGGCTGTGATACTGCACGGGTGCACAAACCGAAGCAGGTGGTTTTCTTAGGAGGCCACACCCCGAGCCTTCGACCTGAACGTCTGACCCACAAAGCAGTGGAGCATCGTAAGGAGATGCAGTCCATGGTAGCCGGTGACCAATGATTGGTTCATACGCCATTTGTTCCTTCAGTATACTGGAGCTAGCCCATGTGCACCATTGGTTTGGGATCCGGTTAAAGCGTCATATATTCGCTTTTCGTCCTCTCATTTTCGTAAACAACAGTGATGCCACGAGAAGGCAGTGAGTAGGACTTCCCTGTCAGAGGCTATATACACGTGGCCATGTGAGAGCATTTGGAGAGGGAGAGAGGACTCTCCCCACTCTCGGCCATACCAGGGCATTTGGGGGCTGATTTCTTCAGAGAGAACACACAACCGAACCATTCAGCTCAGAGAGAAAAACTCTATCAAAAATTCAGGATAAGTGTTCATAGTTAATGATAATGAATTAGAGTTAGTTTTCAATAATCAATTGGTTAAACTAGTTACTTTTGATAATCTATTAGTATTTTAAATCACTTGTTAAAACATCAAATTATCGTCATATTTGAATTATCAATAAAGGGTTGTGAAGATAGTTGAGCATAGATTGATATCATGAATGGATCAATGTTAGACTACTATTAAAAACCTAGAAGCACTGGATGATCGTTTCGTTCCAGTATAGGACTCCCCAGTACGCGGGACTTGAGTCCACTACCTTCGGTCTTGTGCACGAACACTTGACCTCGGGACGACTAAATGATGTTTCTTTCTGGTTAGCGTTTTTTTGGCGAGTTAGTTTTCTACGGGATGGGGTCGCTAACCCCATGCCCAACCCTCCTCCTTTACTTGGGGTTGGGACCGTCAGTGGCCCCAAAGGGGCTCCAGGCGGTGTTCCAGATGACTGAGCAGGCATTTAGAAAATGACTTCGTTTTTTTAGTGATAAAAGTTATCACATCATCCTTTATGGAAAGCAAACACATTGAAATGTGGGATTGGCGTGAAAACACTAAACATACAAATATTGTAGCAATGATCTTTTAGCGTTTTGTATGTGTGTATATAATTCCTTCATTATTTTGTATAACCGCTAATGTGTGTGCATCATTGAGTTAATCCAAGGAATAGAATATCAGTTGTATCATACACTACTTATACACTTTTAGTTGATATCATAGTCAGTAATTAACAGGTATTAAGATTTATGCTATTTCTCTAGTGATTTCAACGGTTGATGTGATTAAGAATACACAACAGTAACGACAAGTATGGATAACAAACGAGCACATAAACGATCTATTTAAATACTTTAAGGTAGTTATTATAATGATTCTAAATATTGATTAATCATATTCAATGGTTTGTCTATGGAATATATTGATCTCAACATACTCCAGTAAACTAAGGAGTATTCTGTAGTCAACTAATTAAGTGTTTGATATTATTATAAGGTCAGTTTTTCATACTACTGTTCTAAAGCAATCGGTTACAGGGAAAAATCATCCATGAACTTATGAGCTTTTGATTTTCAGTGTCATGTGTTCTTTATTAAACACAGTTTTCATAGGAGACTAGTATCACTCAGAGGACCATTGAAGATACAAAAGTGCTGAACAACTTCCTCGTCAGTTGGGTTTTTTTTTCGAAAGTGTGCACTTATAACTTTACGCTGAATTTCACAATGAACACTATCCAGCCATTCAGTATAAAGACCAAATGGTCCACATCTTTCTAGTTCATTCATTGTGCTTTATATAACGGCCTTCATGCACTGAATTTGAAATTGTTTGGTGGAATTCTGTCCAGGCGTTTTGGGGAATATTGATTAAAACTTTCAAAATAACTGTCCATTACTACTTATTTCTCAATGATTGTCCGGTTTGTTTCATTTCGTGAAAAAAACTATCCTTAACATCATATCTTTATAAACTACCGTTCTTCATGATTGATAAAATTTGTATTTCTATACTAAGAATTCATTTCTTCTAATTCTGAGAGCATACAGTTGTGTAGTGGGAATCATACATTTTAAAAAAAACTTTACTGTCGATGACAAAGAAACGTAGTTTTAGCGAAGTTACAAAGTGTATTGAACACTGTCGTACTATTTGTGCAATATGTATCTTGAGTGTTTCATGCATTAAATCATCACTTCCCTATCAATTTATATTGATATAAGCTATATCACTTTAAGGGTGATATGCATTCTTTCTGTGTATTGTATGGTCTCTTCCACGGTGTGAGCGAACGGGAAGTGATAATCGCCCTCATACCTCTAACAGCATTCAAGACCACTGTATTCATAACTGATTGTATTATCTTCTCTGTGTTTTAACATTATTATTTATTGAAAGTTTATGACAAAAACAGCTTAGAGGATTCGAACCATCTATATTGTCTCACAAACTGAAATGCTTTAATCAGATTTTTTTTTTTCATTGAATTTCTTTATCATCTCTTATTTCTTCATTTCAGGTTCGACCACTGCCACCAGTTAAAAAGCGTATCACTTTAAAAACAGCTCTTAAAGCTTTTGGATTATTTTGTACATTTACAGGCAGTGGTCTTTTAGGTTACAAACTATTTGTAGATTTACCATCATACAATGGACCAACAAGAGATTTGCAAAATAAACCAATCGTGATAACACAACCATGTTGTAAGTTATAAATATGTGTTCAGTGAATTTGCTATTCTTAATTACTTTTTTACAATTCGATTTTTCCTTTGTAATTATTATATTTTTCAGTGGACTGGAATGATTATTTTCTTAAGGGACTACTCCTGGAGAATTTGAATTTCGAAGACTCGACCCACAAGACAGTAGGCTAACATCACTATATGCAGTCTGATATAATCCGGTAAATAAAGCAGATTCATACATTATTCGTTCGTTCAAGATTCCGGACGCTATATACACCATCGACTTGAAATCGACATTTCTTTAACTTCCGTTTCCACCGACCGGTTTAAGTGTCGGATGTTCGCTTTTTTGTACTCTCACTTCTGTAAAGTGTACATCTACTGCGTTAGAGTTAGTGGGCAGGACTTTCCTGGCAAATGCTATAAACGCTTGACTGTTTATCGACGATGCTTCCCAGGTACGTGAAAGTTCTCACCTGTTCCAGAGCTTCTCCCTCAAGTGTGATTGGGTCGGTAGTCAATGTATTGTATTTGAAGATCTTGTTTTTTCCCTTGTGTATGGTGAGGCATACTGTTGCAGAGACTGCTGCTACACTAGTTGTCTTCATTTGCATTTGTTGGTATGTATGCGATAGAAGAGCTAGGTCATGTGCAAAGTCCAAGTCGTTTAGCTGCATGCAAGCTGTCCATTGTATTCCGTGTTTTCCCTGAGGTATTGAGGTTTTCATAATCCACCAGAACAGAAAGGACAAGAGTAAGCAACCTTGTCTGACACCGGTCCTCACTTGTAAGGTGTCTGTTAGCTGTCCTCCATACACGATTTTGCAGTGTAGACCATCGTATGCATTCCGTATGATGTTGACGATCTACTCAGGTACACCGTAGTGTCGAGGAATGTTCCATAAGGTCACCGTGTTCACATTGCCGAACGCTTTCTCATAGTCGAGGAAGTTTATGCATAGTGGCGAATTCCATTCAGTTGATTGCTGAATGATGATCCGTATTTCTGCGATTCGGTCTGTTCATGATCAATCTTTACGGAATCCGGCCTGTTGATCTCGAAGCTGGACGTCTATTGAATTCTTCATTCTGTTTCACAACATTCTGCTGAAAACGTTTCTCGGTACTGATAGTAGTGTTATGCTTCTGTAGTTCTCATATTTGCTCAGATTTCCTTTCTTTGGTATATTCGTGAAATATTCTTCTTTCCATTCTATCGACACTTGTTTTTCATATCAAATCTTCCTGAATAGAACGTGAAGCATGTTTGCAGTTACTTTTATGTCAGCTTCAGCTGGTATACCGTCAGATCCTTCTGCCTTCCCACTCTTAATTTGTCTGATGGTTATCCTGACTTATTCGATCGTTGGTGGAGTGAAGGTGCTGCTTCTGTATCTGGTGAAATAATTGGAGATGATCTCTTCAAGAACTCTTCGAAGTGTCCCACCCATCTGTTCCTCTATCCTTGAATTTCAGCGACTGGCTTTCCTTTGTACTTGACCAGTCTCTCTGGTTTATCATATTTCCCTTCCAGTTTCTTCGTCGTGTCATTGAGTTGTTTCACATTTCCTTTTCTTGCAGCTTCATCCGCTGTCGTTGCTAGGTTTTGCACGTATTCCTGCTTGTCAGCTCCAATGCTCTTCTTCACTTGCTTGTTTGCTTCAGTGTATTCAGCTTGTGCCTTGACTCTCTCTGTTCTCGTTCGGCTATTCCTAATTGCCGTCTTCTTGTTCTTCCTTTCTTGAATCTTCTCCAGGGTTTCCATCGAGATCCATTACACATGATGATGCGTATTGTGGCCCAGAACCTCCTGACATGTTGAAGTTAGCGCTTCTTCGATCCCTTTCCAGTTGTCTTCCGTAGTAGTTTCTTCTTTCAGTAGATCTTGTAAGGCTTGGAACGTGTTGTTGAGATTTATCTTGAATTCGTCGAGTTTGTTAGTATCTTGAAGGAAAGTTATGTTGAATCTTTGTACTGCTACATCCCCACTTTTCAAGTGTTTTTTAGCTTTAGTTTCATCTTGGCCGCAACCAGGTGGTGATCTGAAGCTATGTCGGCTCCTCTCCTGATTTTCATATCTTCCATAGGCCCTCTGAATTTTTAGTGATGCAAATATGATCGATCTGATTCTCTGTAGTGTGGTCCAGTGAGACCCATGTAGATTCGTGTATATGTTTATGTGGGAATATTGTACCGCCTATAAACATTTTATTTAATGCACATAAATTGTCAAATTTGTCGCCATTCTCGTTCCTTTCTTCTAGTCAGTCCATGTCGTCCCATGATATCTTCACGCCCTGTGTTATCCATTCCTACTTAGGCGTTTAGATCTCACATCAGGATGGTCAGGTCCTTTCCTGAGCACTTCTCTATGATTGATTGAAGCCTATTGTAAAAGTGGTCTTTATCGTCATCTTTACCACGATTGTTGGGTGTATAACATTGGATAACATTCATCGTGATCCCCTCCTTCTTTGTTTTGAATGATACTTTGATGATCCCGGATCCATGAGATTCTCATCCTATAAGTGCGTTACTTACTTCTTTGGACAGCATCAGTGGATCAATATGAGTGTTGCTTACGTCAACTTAAACTGAATCGTACCGATTAGAACGTACAATTGGTCAAGTCTGGAACGTTAGGCTATAGATGAAATAGTAGACACGGAATAGAAAATTCATAATTGGAATTCTGATTGGCAAACCCAGCCCGTGATATTGATTAGCATCAATATTCTAAAACATTCATATATATTTCAGATTATCAATAACTATACTTTTGTTGTTATCGTCAGTATAGTTGTTATTTTTCGCCCGTTAAAGAACACTGTATGTTATGAAATGATGATTCATAATTCAAGTGGATCCTATTGGTGTTATTAACTTCTCTGAGCTAAATGGTTTTTGATTGATGAGTTTTCATTGTCGTTCTGCACAACATCTGTGCTTATTTCATGTAGAAGTAAGCTCCTTAATAAGTTCACAAACTTTGATGATACAACATATCAGCAAAAGCTTCCTTGTTTAAACGAAACAACAAATAAATCGAGATAAATCCAGTCTATTAACCCATATAAACGAACGATAATCAACTACATGACCATAAGTCAACTAAACAGGATCATCAACTTAAATACAAGGGTATTTGAAAATAATGAAACATACAAAGGTAACCATTCATAAACATGATTACCAGAACGAACTGGTTTGATATTCGAATACTTGTAAATTAGTTTATCGCTGATTAAAGTATTTCAGCTGTTATAACTTGTGGACCTGTGTGCCCTGCTAATGTATAACGTAATGATACCGCCAATTAGAAAGCAGTGAATCGTCAATCGGACCAATGACTCGTAAAACCCGTGCGAGCAGTCTAGAGTCCTGATTTCCGCCTAGCCCAGTCAGTTAATTCCAGAACACCAATCTCAGCCTCTGCAATATGAATCATGTATTTCAAACATACTGGGTGTATATACCAACTAGACAGACCACATCGGACCATAAAATAGGAAATGACATTTATACAAGATATAGCCAAATGTGGCTGTGAATATGAGAGATAATAATTAATAGACAGGGTATAATTCAAGAATGGTAAATCGTATAATGATAGTTCACAGGTCAAAATAAAGCTCATAAAATGAGGAACATGAATATGAATAGTTTAGACACTTAACAATTATACAATACTAGAATGGGTTTTGTGGAGAATTGGTAATTTCTATAGTTGAAATCATGAATCAATTGAAGCTAGACCACCATGGAAAACCTGGAAGCACTGGACGGCCGTCTCATCCTAATATGGGACTCCTCAGCAGTGCGCATCCACGATCCCGCACCCCGCGGGATTCGAACCCAGGACCTATCAGTCTCGCGCCAGGCGCTTAATCAACTAGACCACTGAGCCGGCATCCAACGGTGTTAATGTCTAACTTCAACTAATCCACGAAGTTGCGCCACCGTCACCATTGTCTTCAGTGAGCTGATATCTCACAACAGACCTGGTTGAACTCCGCTGGTCACGGCTTCTCACTAGAACTCCAGGAGTATCTCTTGAAGTCAGTCACTAGTGAGCAGATGATACAATAAAAGATACGCATATTATTGACTCATAAATGAATCCCCAAAGTTACCATTCATTATGCTTATCGAGACATCACACCAGAACAACTATGAAAACTTCATTATTCAACCAATAAGCATAGTAAACTCAACAATACTACTAACCTTCTAACAACTATTTACAAAACATAACTTCTAGTCGATAGTGATCTGGATCATCATCATCATCATCCTACTTATGATCATATAGTAAGTATCGTTTGTCTATTTCAATGTTTCTACATCATCTTTTAACATATTTCTTATGTAATTCTGATGTATATATTTCTTTATTTATTTTTTTTTTATTTATTTTATTTAAAAACAAAACTAGCCAAAATATCCCGTGAAATTGTATATAATTTAGCTAAACAAGGTGCACATCTTATTTTAGCTGATCATCATTGGGATAAATGTGATGAATTAAAAGAACGTTTAATACGTAAATATGGTATTAAATCAGATATGATTGAATGTCGACGTTTAGAATTAGATAGTATGATATCAATACGTCGTTTTGTTGCTAATCTATTAAATGATTATTCTCAATTAGATACAGTGATTATTCAATCACCATCTTATATTAATAATATTATTTCTGGTAAACGATATATTACACATGATGGATTTGAAAAAGAATTAGGTATTAATTATTTTTCTACATATTTATTAAGTCGTTTATTAATTAATCAATTAAATGATAATAATGGACGACTTATATTAGTGATTGATACAAAATCAGCTAATAAAAATCAACAAAATTTAATGAATAATTCATTTATAGAAACATCAAAAATTACAATTCCATTAGATAATATTAATTGGGATAATGAATTAAATTATACACCAAAAAATGCATATGATCGTGCACAATGGTTTTTATTAATGTTTGCTGAGTAAGTTAATAATATTATTTTATTAATAATTAATTATATTTTCAATGGATAGTTTTAATCATATTGTATTTTAATGAAAGCCATCATCCCCCGTCCCTCCCCCCCCGCAATGCTCTGGTACGACCGAGAGTAAAGGGGTGGGGTGCGGGAGTTAGCTCTCTCTCTCTCTCTTTCGAAATGCATACAATTACTGTTAGGGAAATTCTATTCACTGCCTTCTCATGATGGGATAGGATGTTGTTTATGAAATTTTACTTACGCCTGTTACTCCTCGTGAAGGAGCATAGGCCGCTCACCAGCATTCTCCATCCAACCCTGTCCTGGGCAATCCTTTCAAGCTCTTTCCAGTTCTTATTCATCTTTTTCATATCTGCTTCTATTTCCCGACGTAATGTGTTCTTTGGCCTTCCTCTTTTCCGCTTCCCTTCAGGATTCCAAGTTAGCGCTTTTCTCGTAATGCAGTTTGATGATTTCCTCAATGTATGTCCTATCCATTTCCATCGTCTTTTCCTAATTTCCTCTTCAGCTGGAAGCTGGTTGGTTCTCTCCCACAAAAGGCTGTTGCTGATGGTATCCGGCTAATGGATGTTGAGTATCTTGCGTAGACAGCTATTGATAAATACCTGTACCTTCTTGATGGTGGTTGTTGTAGTTCTCCAAGTTTCAGCTCCGTACAGTAGAACTGCCTTGACGTTCGTATTGAAGATTCTGACTTTGATATTGGTTGAAAGTTGTTTTGAGTTCCATATGTTCTTCAATTGAAGGAATGCCGCTCTAGCTTTGCCAATCCTCGCCTTGACGTCTGCATCTGAACCTCCTTGTTTATCGACGATGCTTCCCAGGTATGTGAAGGATTCCACGTCTTCCAGAGTTTCGCCATCAAGAGTGATTGGATTGCTGTTCTCCGTGTTGTGTTTGAGGACCTTGGTTTTCCCTTTGTGTATGTTGAGGCCTACTGATGCAGAGACTGCTGCTATGCTGGCTGTCTTTATCTGCATTTGTTCGTGTGTATGTGATAGGAGGGCTAGGTCATCTGCGATGTCCAAGTCGTCTAATTGGTTCTGAGCTGTTTATGAAATTAAGAGGATGAAAAGTGAATATTCGGAGCTTTAACTGGGTTAGTGGTTACAGAGGCTCTACCCAGGGGAGTTGGAAAACCTTAATTCCATATCAATGGTGTACATTGGCACCAATATCCTGAAGGAATAAGTGGTGTATGAACCTATTGTTAGTGACTAGTCATCATAGCACTGCATCTCCTGATGTTGCTCCATAACCTTGTGGGTTATACCTTTAGGGTCAAACGATCGGGAGTGGCTTCCTAAGAAAATCACCTGCTTTGGTTTGGGCACTCGGGCAATCTATCAGATCTCACACAAATCGAATGATTTATGTAGCGCATATCTATTTGGTGCCTCCTTGTACTAATGTTTATGTGTTTAAATAAATTAATTAAAATAAGAAAGAAACAATGTTATCGTATCCTGTCATTTATCTGATGAGTTTATTTTTAAGACCCACTGCTAAGTTTACTCACCAACGCTTACATTGATTAACCAGTGAGTGAATAGTAATGGGAAATCAATATAAATATTTTAGTCTTACAAGAAGTTAGTCGCGGTTTGAATAGGCCAGGGGGTAACGTCTCTGACTATGAATCCATCAACAGATATAAGTTCCACTGAAATCCGAAGTAAGTCCTTATTGACGAATGTCAACTAATATGGAGATTATCAGTCAGTCAATCAGCTACAACAACATGGAGATTGTACTAAGCAGGGTATCCTTTCAACTACCAACCACCAAACTCGGTGGTACTACGATTTACAGACGAACCGATCACATATAAGATAGGTCTTGGATTTTGGCGCGAAATTCATTCATCCATATGGCTAAGTAACATTTTGGCATTATAGCTGATGTCAACTCAATGAACACTATAACTCTTATACCTAACCCTAACATCCAACTGTAAATCCTAATCCGAATTCCTCACACTAATTTATAAACCCTCACTTAACCCTAGTAAGTAGGTGCGTTTTTAAAGGTCACTTAAACGTCGCTCAAAGGTCCTCTACAGATTATAGTCTCACCATTATTATTATTGTATTTCTTACTTCCACGAAAGTAAAGATGGTAATGAAATCGGTCAAAGTTCAAATTGGATGTTTGGGGGTAGTCAGAAAGAAACTTTGCTTCATCTAGCCCCCGTACTAGTCCATACTCATCACCAAGTTATACCTACAATTTCGACGGGAATACCGCGTTTGATGGGTTCAAACATATATATATATATATATATATATATATATATATATATACATTTTCAAGCTACCAAAGTTGGTGTTCATGTCTAACCTAAATCAATCCACGGTATTGCGTAACTATATTCGGCTTCTCATTAGAACTTTGAAAATTTCCTCTTTAAGTTAGTCACTAGTGAGCACATGATAAGTATCAGTATAGTCTAATGCTCCCAGGTTTTCAATGATAGTCTAACATTGATCAGTTCATCATTTCAATAGATTACAACAATCTCCACAACTATAAACTGAAAAATACCCTGTTTGTTTGTATTCTTATTTTCTAAATTGTTAAATTTTTTAAAATAAATTAATAGTGGTTTTTTTGAAAAAAAACTTCAATTCTTATTATTTTCAAAGGTTGAGATCATCAGTCAATTGAAGCTAGACCAGCATGGAAAACCTGGAAGCACTGCACAGCCGTATCGTACTATTGTGGAACTCCTCAGCAGTACGCATCTACGATCCCACTCAGTAACCTAGAGGTTAAGCGCTCGCGCGTGAGACTCATAGGTCCTGAGTTCGAATCTCGCGAGGCGGGATCGTGGATGCTCACTGCTGAAGAGTTCCATAATAGGATGAAACGGCCTTCCAGTGCTTCCAAGTTTTCCATGGTAGTCTATCTTCAATTAATTTATGATCTCAATCATTGAAATGACCATAATATTCACACAAAAAAAACCTTCTTATTATTTTGTAGTGAACTTGCACGTCGTAATTCTTCAATTCAAGGTAAAAAAGCATCAATTCTAGTTACAAATCCTATTGTTACACGAGGTTTAAGTCCTGAAATGGATGAGAAATATTTGAATACTAAAGGAATTTTAAAATTAATTTACATGTTAATTGATGCTTGTCCACGTTTAATTAGTCGTAAATCATCAAATACTAGTTTATTTTGTACAACTGTTGATTCTTCCATTATTGATTCAACAAATGATCAATCAATTGTTAATTGTGCTCCAATCTATCAAGATCTACGTTTATTGATTTCTTCTAAACAAATGGATCAAACCATTGAAAATAGACGTCATGCATCAGAATTATTATGGAGATTAAGTGAAAAATGGACTCGATTAGATACTCATCCTAATGCATTACCATTACCTAATAAACCATTAATAAAGAATAATGATAGCAAACTATCAGATGGCAATGTTGAAACTGTCTCAACAATTCATGCATAAATTGTAAAGGATGCATCTGTTTTAATAATTGAAAAGAAATATACTATAAGCTATTTCTTTAATTCTTATTAGTTAATACTACTACTGTCGATTATTAAATTCTATGGTGACACTTGAGGAGGAAGCCGGAAGAGGAAGCTTAGTGTTGAAAGTCGATGTAGGAGGAATAATAGGAATTGATTATCAATACAGTGGTCTTGAGTGCTGTTAGAGATGTGAGGGTGGTTATCACTTCCCAGTTGCCCACACAGAGGAAGAGTTCTTCTGGAGGTACCTGAAAAGGAAATTGGATTAGAGTTGGTCTTAGTGACTTGAGAGCGTGACTGAAGTGTTCAAGGGACAACTGCTTGAGGTCGGCCAACCACGACCTTTTTGTGAGTAATTTTTGTTTTAGCTCCGTACTTGGTGAAACCTTACCGTCGGAGACGGATATCCGTGGGATAAGGCGAGCTGTGCAATTTTAGGGTCGACCTCTTCTAACCCCATCCCTACTTATGGGAAGGCAGCATCGCTGTCATGCTGGTTGTCTGAAGGAAAAATCTTACTGCTGTCACACCTGTGTACAGTCAGCAGTACGACGATAGACATAACTGTGAAATAAATGGAATGGCATGACCCAAGTTCATTAATTATCAAGATTTAGGAATCAGAATAAGTAATGATAACTCCCAGGCAGAAGCTTCAAAAAGCTTTAAGATCTTATAGGCTATACGCAATTTAGATTACGTGACGTCAGTCACTGAGGTCATCAAATTCTAGTGCCTGGTCTTACATTGTAGCTGACTGACTGACTGAATTTAGATGAAGAAATGTTTGGTATATTACACCCAACGTATATTAGGTCGCGTTTTAAATATTACATACAAGTAACCAATCCTTGTTTCAAATATGAAATAGATGTACTTAAAAGGTTTCAAATGCAAGAGCACAGAATGGCGAACAGTCTTCCACTTAGAACTGATCATTTAAAAAAAATTGGGTTGAAGTCATCTACTTTTCGAGTTATGTTTTTTCCATAGGCTCGTGAAGTACTGGGATTCCTTACCAGAGCACATAACGTCAGTATCTTCTGCTAATTACATTCACAGCAATAATTCATCTTCACAGTACTACAGATCGTGAGGATTAATATAGGTCATTTGGCTTTTTGCATTTATCACAGAATACTCAACATTAACTTCAAATAGGCTTAGGTAAACTTATAAGGAATATTATGACTAGAATGAAAGTACTTTGTATCACTCAATTATGAAATATAGACAATAATGTCAATTATTATTTGTATTATATATTTACTTACTTACACCTGTTACTCCCAATAGAGCATGGGCCACCAACCAGCATACTCCAACCAACTCTGTCCTCCGCCTTCCTTTCCAGTTCTATCCAATTGTTGTTCATTCTCCTCATGTGTCTCCATTTCTCGGCCTAATTTGTTCTTTAGTCTTCCTCTTCTCATTTGGCCTTGAGGATTTCAATAGAGGACATGCCTTGTGACGCAGTTGGATGCTTTCCTCAATTTGTGTTCTATCCACTTCCAGCGCTTCTTCCTGATTTCTTCCTCCACTGGGATCTGGTTTGTGTGCTCCCACAGTAGGTTGTTGCTGATAGTGTCTGGCCAACGAATCCAAAGTATTTTGTGTAGACAGCTGTTAATAATCACTTGTAACTTCTGGTTGATTGCTTTGATAATTCTGAAAGTTTCCACCGCAAACAATAGAACTATCTTGACATGTGTATTGAAAATTGTGACTTTGGTGTTATTTGAGAGTTGTTTTGAGTTCTAGATGTTCGTCAGTTGTAGATATTTTGCTCTTGCTTTTCCGATTCACTCATTCACATCTGCATCCGATCCACCGTGTTTTTCAATGATGTTGTCCAGATATGTAAAGGTTTTTATATCCTCCACATTTTCTCCATCAAGTGTGATTCGATTGGTGTATGCTGTGTTGTATCAAAACGATCAAAATCAATCAGCATATCTGTTGAGCAAATATACAAGGAATATAATATGTAGATTGTATTTGAAACAGAAATTACTTGTTGAGTGTATTTTATACAATTTAGAGCCCCGAATGCCCTGGTACGGCCGAGAGTGGGGAGAGTCCGCTCTCCCTCTCCAAATGCTCTCACATGGTCACGCGTATATAGACTCTGACAGGGAAGTCCTACTCACCGCCTTCTCGTGGCATCACTGTTGTTTACGAAAATGAGAGGACGAAAAGCGAATGTCCGGCACCGGCTTTAACCGGATCCCAAACCAATGGTGCATATGGGCTGGCTCCAGTATCCTGAAGGAACAAATGACGTATGAACCAATCGTTGGTCACCGGCTACCATGGGACTGCATCTCCTTACGATGCTCCACTGACTTGTGGGTCAGACGTTCAGGTCGAAGGCTCGGGGTGTGGCCCCCTAAGAAAACCACCTGTTTCGGTTTGGGCAACCGGGCGGTATCACAGCCCTCACACAAATCAATTGAGATTTGTGTGGCGCATATGTATTTGGTGCCTCCTTGTACCAATATCTATATGTTAAAATAAATAAGTACAATTCAGAGGATAGCTAAGGATGTGTGTATGTCATTTCTGTCTATTGAGAGCTTACACAATGTCACTTTGGATTTTTGAAAACTGTTTTAATAATATTCTGTAATAAATTATTTATTTATACTATCTGCATTATGATTGGTTGATTATGAAATGAGATTTCACAAGATTATGTTTACTTTCACTCAAGGTTGTTGCTGAGGTGCATTGAGATTTGACTTTACTCGGATTACTCAATCGTTCATTGGATCTCTTTCCTTCATTACTTTAACCAACATGTAATTGGTCAATCATAGGAAACTATGTTTTCACAACGGGGAATATATATCAATCATAACCTTAGTATACCCATAAAAGAATATCAACAAGTCGATAAATTTAGAATAAAAAATTAAACATAGAAATTGTAGTTCAAGATTTAATAGAAGATAGAGAAATGAATAACACTGTAATCGATTTTGAGTTGTGTCATCTGCCACCTCAAAACATTGATTATGGTTACCATGAGTTTAACAGTCAGAAGTTTCATTTCCTCTTATAACTCGATTCAAAAGTTAATTACTTCGTGAACCGATATTATACACTGGTATGGCCATCCCCTTCTAGCGATTATCAGGGAAGTCTTATTCACTGCCTTTTCGTGTCGAGAATGTTGTTTACGAAATTGTGAGAACCAAAAGCGAATGTTTGGCTCTTTAACCGAGTTGGTGAGTATAGAGGATCTCTCTGGGAGAGTTGGAAACCCCTGATTCCAAACCATTGGTGCACATGGGCTCTCCAGGATCATGATGGAACATTTAGTGTATGAACCTATTGTTGGTCACCGGCTTCCATGTGACTGCATCTCCTTATGCTGCTCTACTACCTTGTCGATTAGACCTTCAGGTGGAAGGCTCGAAGAGTGGCTCCCTAAGAAAACCACCTGCTTCGGTTTGGGTATCCGGATAGTATTCCCGCCGTCCCACGAATCAAACGACGAAGTGTGTTGCATATATATTTGGTGCGTCCTTGTACCAATGTTTATGCTTCTTAAATAAGTAAAACCTAACTTATTCTTACGCCGTCCAGCATTGTACATCGAGATTTACACTGATTGAACGTACATCATAAGCATCCCGACTCTGGCCACTTGTGAATTATTCCACCGAAAACTTTTAGCTCTGATCTCATTCACTTGATTGACAGCAATGATAGTTAAATACCATCAAATTACCTACGTCTTTACTTTTATAGACCATATTCACAGCTACAGAACAAATCTTTGCTCAGTATAGTCGTTTTCTTGGACGGATACATAACTAATGCTTCAAAAATGAGACGAGGTTTTCTATGACCTATCCCAGGTTTTCTTCACTTATCATAAATGATAAAATTTTCAAGCTGAATGAGTTGTTCAACATGCTTAACTAATTCGCCCCCTAAAGTTAAATTGAGAAATAATTCAGACCAGTTATTTTCAGTCCTCTTGCACTCTAAGTTAGCCAGTCAGAACACATGTGGAATATATATCGAGGTAATACGCACAGTATGCACATATGCCAATAAGAGACTGATCAATTTCAGTCCTAAACATCAACGGGAAAACTCAAACAAACAATACCAAGTGAATTTAAATTTCACACCGTTGCACAAGTAAGCGGCGATCAGGACTCAGTAGACAAGTGGATAACGCGATGGCGTTTGAAGCGAACGGTACTGGGTTCGAGTCCTAGAGTAAACCTCAACTTTGAGATGTAAGTACATCCAGCTGACAAGTCCCAAATAGAACGAAACGCGCGTCAAACTGGATTCCACTGCTAATCACTATCCATCTTTGCCTACATGGGGAATATCTTCAACTCAAACATATTTCGCCGCCCAGTCACAGAAAACTATGATAGCATAGGTGATTCCAATAAAAAGGTACTGATCGATGTTTGGGGAATATATTAGTCTAGATTTTAAACCGGCTTATTTATCTGTGTATTGTGAATAGTGGACAGACAAAACATTCTTCTACATTAAGTTCTGCATAAAAGAATAATTTCAAATAAACAACTATTGTGAAGTAGAAATTACTGGGCAGCTCATTTATTCAAATATAGGAACGCAATGGTTCCCAACCACAACCCCACTAAAAATCCAAGTCAGATGTTTCAACACTTGCGGTGATTATCTAACCTTAAAACTACTGAGTTTGATTCTAGTGCTTCATATATGTAACTTCTTCCAGTTTACAGTATTAACTGGCCATCATCAATTACCATTGAGGATACTAATCTCAGCCTCAATATAGTTAGACTCGGCTAATCACGGTACCTGACAAGAATACTGGGAATGTTATCTTTTGATAATTAACAACCATATTATCATTAATATAAGAGTTTTGTGACAATTACTTCATTTGTAGTTTTCATCATTATTGTCTATGTTCTATATTCTCTGTTAGTTATACTATATATATCTAATGAATTGAATA